ACACCTTGTATCACATGTGTCACATGATCTAAAAATAGAACTACAGTAATATGATAGACAAGGACTATAGATAATAAATAATCAAAGAAAAATATAACTAATAATTAAGGCTAACAATATAATATTCATGAGATAATAATCAATGATCTAAATATTTTTCAGGAAATATTTGTATCTAAAAAAATCAAATTTAGAGATATTTACTGAAATATTAGATCTATTAGTCAAATATTATAAGGTATTTTATGAAACTATAGACTTTCAAAAACTATTTATGAAAGATAATGAAAATTCAATAATAGTATAAATCAATATGATAGATGCTAAATTGAAAATGAAATATTTAATTCTATTATGTCTTCATAAAATATTAAGGGCTTATTTATATTAGCTAAATTCGTAAATCATAATAAAAGTATCAATTTATATAGAAAACAAGTTCAATTCTTCTTTATACATTTGATAAGTTTTCTGAATAATATTATTAAATATTAATTAGTCTTTATTTAGTAGTATAAACTGGTTAATTTAATAGAAAATAGATTTTATTTTGAATCTAAAATGATACAAATATTGAATTGTAAAGTATTGAATTTTATTCAAATAGATATGAATATATAATCATTATTCATAATATTTTTGACTTATTTATTCCATTTAGATATAGAACCTCAAATCGGCAAGATTCTTGTAAATATTTAGCTATAATTTCTTTAAATTATAAATATAATATATAATTAAAAATTTACCAAATATATAAATTTTGATATAATTGAAATTTTGATGAATTTCTAATGATTTTTAAGGAAAATTTTAATGAAATATATAGTAAAAATAGTACAAATTATATGACAAATAATGTTAAATTATATAGTAGAAATTGATTGACAATTTATTTATATCAAATTATATAGTAGAAATTGATTGATGATCTATAGTATTTATGCTGAATTATATGGTAAAAATTGATTGATGATTATTTATGTTATTAATACACTGAATTGATTATTTTTTTTATGAATGTTATATGAGTAACATTATATCAAATAAATATTTTTTAACTAGTATTATAAAGAGAAGTATAGGAGAAATATATTTAGTATCATATTTTAATATAAAAAAATTCATTAGAAGAGTACAAGAACTAAAAATCTTCAATTTCAAAACAATCCTGAAAAAAAGGATTCAAGAAGTGATTTACAATAATTTGAATCCTTTTATGTTTCAAAATGACAAAGTAAATTACGTAAATATTGAAACTTAAGAAAAAACTATTATCAGGAAAAATATTAAAGAAAAAGTATAACAAGACTACCTAATAGAAATACTTCAATACAATCTTGGATCAAAAGAAAAATTAACCTTCTATTTTAATGAATTATTAATTAATTAAGAAAATAAAGAAATGAAAATGAGACCTGCTTGGATTTAGATAGGAAAAATAGAAAAAAAAACAAGTTTCAAACAGAAGTAAATAACTGGCTCTCATTTATAAGGGTTGAATTAGTAATAATTATAATGATAATTCTAATAGTTTTTATTAATAGCACAATTAAGATTTATATAGACAGTCAAGTTTATATTTTCAAATAGAAAACAATAAGAAAAAAGAATCTAAAGAGAACATATAAGAGATGGCTAAAAAAAAAAAATTAATTTTTTTGGATATAAATGCTATAGTTAATAAAATATATATATATATATAGATCTAAAGCTCATCAAAGTTAAGGTACATTTCAATAATATTTATAATAAAGAAGCAGATATCTTGTTAAAAAACCCTAAAACTCCTACCAATTGAATAAAAAGATCTCCTTTTATATAAGATTATCACAGAAATCAATTGATAAAATAAGACTTTAAATAATCCAATTAGATAGTTTGTTAAAAATATTAACAATAAAATAATAGTCTATTAATAAATACAGTAAAACAGAATGGAGAAAAATAGAACCATTAAATTTTAGAGTACCAATTTTATACATAGAATCTGATGTGAAAAAGAATAAAAAATGGATACACATGGGATACATTCTTTAAGAAATCTCAACAAAGAAGCTTTCTTATTAAACTAATCAATAATAAGCTATTAATATTAAGTAAATTGACTATAAGAAGACCTGATTTATATAAGCACGTGAAATGTATTGCATGTAATTAATGAGAAAAAGTTATAAAATACTTATTAGAATATTCAGTCTATAAGAATCAACTATAAGTAGCATGGAATAAAGAAGTAGATGGAATTATTAGAAACTTTAAAGAACTTATACAAAAAAGAAAAGAGGTGGTTGTAGAAAAAAGTATTAAGTTGGTTACTAATGATTAAGAAAAACTTGGGAAACTTAATAAGTAGATCTCTAGACTAATGAAACAAACTTCTAAAACTAATCAAGATATTTTAAGTTTTTGCATCAACCTAATAAAAAGTATTTTTATTTTAAAAATAGCAGATCTAAAATATTATGGAAAATATATAGAAAAATAAGTGCAAATATGAATGTTAAATATATAAAAAAAAGGTTGTAACCAAGTTTAAAAAAGAATATGAAACAGAGATGTAAAAAAATAATTAAATGGAAACAGTTACAAGGAATCAATAGAATAGGTAAGACTAAAAGACCTTCAAATTTAATAGATCAGAAAATTATATCTTTCAAGAAAAGAAAAGCACTATCAGAAGAAGAAAACCTAGAAGAAGATAAAAATCCTCAAGAAATTTAACAAAAATATAAATATAGGATAAAGTGATTGGGTTTTAAGCTTGTCAAAACATCACAGAATGATCTGCAGTAGTGCCTTACAAGCAATAAAGTTAGTAATTGGAAGGCTTTTTATCTGAATTATTAATGCAATAATAAATCACTTTTGAAGTTGTACTTAGAGTTTTGATAATATTGATGAGTGAATTAGATAGAGATTTAGTTTTAGCAATACATTTTTAATGTAAAGTATACAAAACATTTAATAAAACATACATACCTAACCTAATAGAGGACTAAAAAAAAAAAAAATAAATAAATAAATAAAATAATCAATAGTATTAAACTAACAATAATAAAAATTTTGAGATTAACAAGTTAATTAGATTAGAGATAAAAGTTTAATTATAATATCTACGATGTTGCTTAAATAAATGCAATATAGAATTGCATTTGCAAAAATAAAATAAAATAAACTTTTTATTTTATAAACTAAAATACTATATATTAAAAAAAGTGTTTTTGTCAAAAAAGAAACCAATGTGATTATTGAATTTTCAACTCCTCCAAGTACTAGCAATTAAAGTTTTATTATATAACAATTCAAATTAACGACAATTCGGAAAACTCTAGATATAAGTGAAAAAAAAAAAAAATCAGTACTGTTGTGGTCAAATAATTTCTAAATGATTGTTTATTTTGATATCGCTCGTCATGTAAATCATACATTATTATATATTATACATATACAGTACGTGGATTAATCTTCATTGTGAAACTGATGAAATCTCGGCAATTCCATAAGTTCATTAGCACGCAATGCGCACGTATGTAAATAACGGATGAGAAATTGTCAGGGCTCAGGTGAGCGAGCAACTTTTCCATATTCAGGTCGGTTAACCGGCTCGCCAAAAGTATTACAGTTAAAGAATTCAAAATTAAGGTTCACATATATATTAACGTGTTGAGTGGTACAATTTCATGTGATGCCAAATAATGTTACAGCATATTAACCAAGTATAAACAAGCCATCTTACACAAAAACTATTCCATCGGTTAGGTTAACAGAATTTTCACTTCGTGTATCTTCTATACATTTTTTCGCACCCTTTTCCGCATACACACGCACTCTATAATTCTGCTGCCATTTCGCATACGAAGTTCAAAGCAGGCTATAAACACATCCACTTTGCAGATATGACGATAAAAATGAGTTTTCTTCGTTCATCACGTGGTTTTTCGAGTTTACGACGAGGCGAACAGTTTAAGTCAATTGTTTTAAAACGTGCTGCTATGGGCATCGGTAGACAGTTTCATGAGTCCACCTGTGTGAAAAATGCCTCGCCCACTATGGGAAACATGGCAATGCGTATCTTGTTACTTGGAAGTCCGGTACGTCACTAATTTTTTCGTACGATAATCGGAGATTGTGATGTGAATAGTAAAGTAGAATGGAAAAAACAAAAGCGTCTTTGTTGACAATAGCAATCATTTTTCTGAATCGTATAAAGGGGTCCGGAAAAGGAACCCAATCCGCTCGTTTACAAAAAAACTTTAACATTGCCGCAATATCAAGCGGGGACCTTCTGAGACGAAATATAGCAAATGGCACAGAAATTGGAAAATTCGCAGCAAAGGAAATTGAGCGAGGAGGTGAGAATCACATACCGATTAATCGTTGAAGCCCAGAAACCGCTCAACTCACACAAAGTCATAGATGGGAATGATCGACAAAGCTAACCAATTTATGTTATAAAATAGCATATGTCCCGGATAATATTATGATCGAACTTATAACTAATGAACTTCGGATTATCAAACGAAAGGTAAAATTTCATGCGCAAATAGGTCAATGATTACGTACGAAGCCGAGATTTAATTTTAATTTTGCATGTGGCACGTGCGATCAGAATTGGTTGTTGGATGGCTTTCCACGAACCATTAATCAGGCCACGGCATTGGATGAAAATTTGGTTTTGACTGGCCAACCTTTAAATTTAGTAATCAACTTACACGTGCCCGAGGATGTAATATTACAAAGAATCATGGGTACGAGTTTTTCACGACAATCGTAATTTCGTTAGCAGACTTGGAAGAGAAAAAAAAAAGAATAACCGAGTAAAGACTAATAATTATAGATCGATGGGTGCATATCCCCTCGGGACGTGTCTATAACTTGAGTTACAATCCTCCGAAGACGCATGGTATCGACGACATCACTGGCGAAAAATTGTCAAAAAGATCCGACGACAACGCTGTAAGTATTTACCCGGTGAACTTCTTAAAGATGCAAGAAGATTGGACAAAACTCATTCGTACATTTTATTTCACAAGGAGGTATTTAAAATTCGACTTCAGAAACATCGAGAATTGACAGAGCCTTTGTTGGAGTATTATTCCAAACGCAATATATTGGTCACCTTTGTCGGAAGCACTAGCGACGAAATTTACCCTCAAATAGAAAGCGAGCTCTTGAGAAGATTCGGCGTCGAAAATTTCAATCAGGCAAGACCTCACATTGTTAGCGAAGAGGCAAATAATATTCTCTTTGAATGACGTATAGTAGATTCATTATTTTCATAGTCATAATATACAATATAAAGTATTTGCAGTACGTATATGAACTTCTTTAAGGATAAATTAAGTTCCTTTGTATTATAATAATAAAACAAATTGTAATAGTTAATTATCGCGAAAACCAAAATGTACGTGTTTTTTGCACGAAGTCTTAATTAAGACATGGGTGGATTAATTAGAACCGGTTATTCCCGATATAATAGTACACATACGATTAATGTTACACACATATGATTACATTCACACATCCTTTACCTTTAAAGAGAAATAAAATGCTCGTCTATGGGAAAGCTGTAATAAGGTTTACGTAATAGAAACCTGCAATTACACGTCTCATGAGGTGATCGCAAAATTATTCAAGGGCGGTGGTGTGGGCTAGTTCTTTCTGGAAGATTTCAGGCTGATGATTATGTACTAGATGTATGCGTTGCAAAAAAACAATCGCCTGTTTTGACTGCACTAAAATTTTTGTTCCAGCGGCGAAAATATTTTTCAGCATCGAATCGTTACAACAGAAGCTGATATGATTGTCAAGTTTTGTAAGGAGGGTGGTGAATATTGTACTTTAAAAAAAAAAAAATCATGAAAATTTTTTTACGGGTTTACACATTGAACTTATAGAAATTAAATGTGTAATATTTTATTTTTTAAATAAAAGATTTGTCATTATTAAAAAGTGAATAAAGACCCCAAAAATGAATTGACCCGTTTGTATTAATTAATCAATAAAATAATTGACAAATCGGAAGCCTCGTAAAGCAATACTAATTCCTTAACATTGACCGAAACATTCTTTTACAAGTAAAGTGCATGAGAACCACCCAGCGCTCCGCCTCATTTTCTCGCTCGCACAACCTATTTATTCCTTGAGCCTGTCCTCCAACTCTCCGACTTCACGAATCGGCTTGCCACAGGTGAAATTTTCACAAATATGAACCGATGACGTGAGACCGCCAGATTCGCTTTCTAAAATGCTTTTCACGGATTCATTCCTCTCTTTTATCACTAAACTCTCTTCTGGACTTACCCGCAAGAGAACTTTACTTGGAATAAATTTTGATTGAATGATATTGAGAAATTGTTGAACATTCGATTCTTGTTTGCGCCCGGTAATTATCAACTGATGAAAGGAAGTGATAAAAGGTGATATCAAATCTCGTTAAATATGCAAAAAAGGATATTATGACCTCTACCTGCTTAACACCCTTCTGATGCAGCATCAAGCCAGAAACCATTGCTGGCATTGAAAATGGCGCGCGGCTTAACTTTCCCGCAAAGAATTTCAACGATTGCTCGGCCTTGCGGTTATAATCAGAGCCATCAACGATGTGTCCAAGACGAATCAAATTACTAATCGAAACCGAATTCCTAAATAAATATTAAATGTTATCAGTTAATAGGTTGTGCAATGCTATTCCCACGAGATTGGGGAGTTAGCCTACGCTGAGGGTTCAGCACCGTCGTGGTCTAAGCGTTGAGGAGGATTCGTACAATAATTCATCGTTAGTGTTGGAAAATCTTTAATAGTCAACGGATATTTATCACGTACCATCCTTCAATCGAACCAAAATGTCTCTGGCGTTTTCCTTGACATTAAAATATCCACCATTTTTCTCATCATAAAACAATCGATCTTGCGTGTCCTGCAAATCAATCGCCCATTCAAGGTATGATTCGTTGAAAGTTGACTGGTAGAGGTCGAGCAACCCTGCAAAATAAAATGATGAAATGATGGTTAAGGGAGAAACGATAGAGTTTAAGTGTACCTCCGATCAGATAACTGGAAAGATGAAAGATTTTTCTTTAGTCGTCCATTATGAACTAAGTGCGAAAAAAGTTAACAAGATGAAATGCAAAGTCACCTATAGTCATCTGCAAATCCTTCAACATCACTGGGACCCTCCCTAAAACTTCTCAACAATACTTTTCTCTCCTTGTTGTACATTCGCTCTTTTAAAAACTTAGCTGCCCCCTCCGCCAGATCACGAATCTTCTCATCACGTAACGCGTCATATGCTCGAGCGAGGCCAGAGATCATTAGTCCTGTCATCGAAATTTGAATTAAACATTTGACGCAGTAAAGTATTAGGAAAAAAGTTGCTGACCATTCCAAGCTGTTAAAATTTTATCGTCACGGTGCGGTCGAGGTCTCTTTTCAAACCTGAATCTTAAAAGTTTTTCTTTGGATTCCGAAAGTATCTCGTTTAATTCACTTAAAGAAAGGTTAAAATGATTCGCGGTCTCTTCGAGCGCGTGACGTTCAATCAAAACATTCTAAAATGTAAAAATTTATCATATGAGCAAATTCGTAAAATAGACAGGAGGAGGCACATGCGAGATTAAGTTAGACCGACTTTGTTTTTCAATTCTCCCTGAATATCTTTGCGAGGATCAACGTTTCCATTCGACTTCACACCAAAATGCCCGCAAAATATTTCCGAATTCCTATCGCCCAGAATTTCCTTAATCTCGGGTTCTTCCCATACGCAAAAAGCACCCTCTGAAACAGAGCGATGTTATCATTTTGGAGGATTAGAAGGATTGGGCGAGCGATAACCTCCGTGCGTAATAATTATTGGTAGAATGAAGTCTCACCAAGTTTATGTTCTGCACCCTCGTAAGGATAGGAGTCGGCATCCTCGGCCGAAAAGAAACCGCCACCTTCGGGGTCCTTCAGATCTCTTTCCACGTATTTTATAATGTCTCGCGCTACCTATTGTAATCATAAGTTCTTAATTGTCCACGGGAATAACCTGAAGTGGGAACATTGCGTTCACGTCACCGTATAACGCACTCCTTACATCTGCATAATAATGATCTCCCGAAATCACATAAGTTTCAACATAGCTCATCAGTAACTGAGCCTGATCATAAAGCTAAAATTAAATTTGCGTTAGACTTGACAGAGTCGATAATCTTGGTAGTAGATATTCACGTGGAGCCGAAAATTTTACCATCTTTTCAAAGTGAGGGACATGCCAATACTTATCAGTGGAGTAACTAGAGTATGGCAAATAAATGATTCAATGACGATTTTTGAGTGGACACATCTGAAAAATGAATCTCCACTCACCGGTGAAATCCGCTTCCGACGTGATCTGTACATAACAAATCAAAAGGTCATCATCAATTTTTTGTTGTGATGTTATAACCAAAAGATATATATTTACACACCGTGAATGCCGCCCATAGCAATTTTCTTTAGATATAATAAAAAGTACAAATAAACACATGCCTATTAATCACGGGGAAAAATTTTTTTAAAGAATCCGCGAATATTTATAAATTACCTTTAGGGTAAACTTGACCATCTCCAATTCGCGTTCAGCAGCCTGTCTACGGTTCGTCACCACATCTTGCAGTTTCTTTAAGAATTCTGCATCATTTGTACAATCTTTAAAATCAATTCCCAACTTCGTACCGCGATCACGGATTTCAGAGATCGACATTATTGCGAATCTTTCTTCTGCTTTTCCGAGATCAACAAGGGTGTAATAGTAGTGACGAAGCAAAAAGTGAAATTGAACAGGAGTCGGAAATTTGGGTTCGCCTATTAAACATGGATCTTAATTAATTAGCCATGGAACCAAAAATAGCGTGCTCTATCTTGTTTGAAATGCGTACTCTTGCCGTCAAATCCTCCTTCATCATCATCAAACGAATCGACAAAGAATTGGTATAACTTTTGTGATATTTTCAAATTCAATTCCGAGGAACCTCCGCGACCCTCATCCTTAGATCACAATGAAAATGATTATAGGGTAAATTATGTTGCTGCCGATGAATTCATTCGCAGTCATCAAAGTTTGATCAACTTACCGAGGTAAATTTTTGAAGCATTTCAATTGCTTCTGCTCCAGCCTTTTTCAGTTTGTCTGATTGTTCCTTCCACCTATTTCATGGTTAAAACATAATTCAGGAATCACGAAGTTAAAAATAAATCAAATTCATCCTCACTTACATTTCAGCAATTTGCTTGCACAAAGACGGAAACCCGGGTCTATCAAGTTAGTTAGTATAAACATGTGTAAAATCAAATAAAATAGAAAGAGTTAATTTGGGCAGCGCCTTTCCTTCCGTATTGATCATTCGGGGGGAAGTAAGTCCCGCCAAAGATGGCTAAAAATAATTGGATTTTAAAGTCTATTGCTGTTAAATCTAAAAAGGACTCGATATTTCAATCACTTACGATACAACTCGGGCTGCATGAAAGACAACGTGCTAGTGAGTACTATTAGAGTACCATCATCACAAACTTTCATTGTAAAAATAACTCACGGTCAAGAAAACAGACATAGGCCATCCGCCGCCTCCAGACATTGATTGAACAAAGAGCTTTATTGAACATCATAATAGTGAGTTGGTACAAAACAATTATCATAATGGATGGGTTTTCATTTGATAAATTGAATTTACCATGTACATGCGATCCACATCAGGTTGAACTTCTCTATAGAATCATGAAGAAAAAAAATCGCGTCTTACGATAAGTTAGAATAATAGTAATATCTAATTTCTGGTAACGTACCTGTCAACTAAAGGTCATCATGGAATGGCTTTTATTATAAGGTCTTAGAGCAAGAATTGAAAATAAATCACTTGCATACGTACCCTTAACGTTCACAAAATTGTCATTCATAATCTTCGCGATGGCCTCATTTTCAAAAGACTCGTGTGCCTTCAAAGAGGGAAATCGCACACGATAATGAACAATCCTTTGTTCAATTGTTTTCTTCGAGACAACGCAAAGAAGACCATGGACTCACCATAACGTGACACCAACTATACAATTGCGTGAATCGGGTAAGAATAATCGAATCAGAAAATTTCAATTAAGGAGAGGAGAGACTTACTGGCAGGTACTATATCCAACACTCAAAAATATCAGCTTGTTTTCTTTTCGAGCCTTTTGGAAAGCTTCTTCTCCCCATGGGTACCAATCGACTATAAAGCAAGTAGTTGAGAAACCTCCATTGATTCAATTCTACTTACGTTTTATATTATTTACCAGGATTGCTTGCATGTTGCTTTATCAAAGAAAAGAAACGCGAATAATTAGCGTCGAAAAAAAAATGTTAACCTTTCTTAATTCATAACTATAATTACCAATAAATAAGGACTTTTCTCATTTGCAAGTCTATTTAATTTAGCAGGCGACTTTGACAAACTTCCAGTCAAACTACTAGAAGTCGTGTCCACATTGCTTGACATGCTTCTAAAACTGCAATTAGAGAGCAAATTAATTCTCGAGTTTACGTTTATTGCCGAATTATTGTTGGGTGAATAACGTGAATTCGGTGGTGTTTTGCTAAGATTTTTCAAAACGCAGATACTTGAATAAGTATTACGAATCAAACTAAATCTTCGAAAAATCATTGGAAATTACGTACCTGCACTCGTTTCGCGACTACATATGTGTGTAATGTCCCAATTAATTAATCTAAAAAAAAAAAACGTGAAATGAGATCATAATGTATGAAAATGACATACCGGGAAATGTTTTTTCTGTGTCGTATGCAATATACAAAATCACATGAAATATAAAAGCTCAGGTGATACAAATTAATTACTCTTTCAAATTTGATCAACTTTTTTCTCGAGAAAAGCCTTGATCACATGAGAAGTGTGTTTTGGATTATTAACTTATTGAAAATGTCACTGCTTTACTTCTAATTTCGTTTAATATTTTCACATATTCATAATATCCTGAAAATAAAATACATTAAATTCGAATTTTATTAAAAATTTAATTCTTTAATATAATATTAATATAATAATCTTTATATTAGGTAATATTGTAATAAATTATTAATTAGTAGTTAGATTTATTAGAATAGGATCAAATGATTAATGCTTATTTGAGTTATTAGATATTTTAAAAATATTGATTATTATTTTAACCATATGATCAATATTAGGTTTTTTTAAAATATGAGTTATTATTAATTTCAAATTTTTCCATTTGATATTTAAGAAGGGAAAAATAATAGTTATATTTAATTTTTGGTTTCAAATTTTATATAAAATTTTAAAAATACTATTATATTGACGCTAATCAAAATTATGGCATTCAACAGTTGAATTATTGATAAATTTAATAGAATATAATAATAAAAACATTAACAAATTATTTTTTATTGTTGTTACTTGATATTTAAAATATTGATAAAAAATTGATAAAAAATTTTAACATATTGCAATAAAAAAATTTGGCAAAATTTGGTAATATTGCAACAAAAAATTTTGTATACTATAGTAAAAAATTCAACAAAAAATTATATAATATGACAAAAAATTCAATAAAAGTTGCAAATCTAATATTAAAATTTGATAAATATTCAAGAAGTTTGACAAATTTCATAAAATTTATTAAAAATTTACAAAAAATTACAAAATAAATTGACTAAATTATTCATTACTTTTCTCTTTCTCTTTATTTTTTTCCATTTGCTTTTCTTTTCTTTTAAAAATTTTAGTTTAACTTTTTTAAAATTAACTTCAATTGGTTTTACTCTGTTAAATATTTTTCAATATTTTCTAAATATAACTAGAAAAATAATTTTTGATAATGGGTAAGTCAATATATAAAAGTTAAATAATTTATAAATATCATATATTTATATAATAAAGACAAGTTATATTGACCTGACTATAGATTAAAAAAAAAAAAATGTACTATCAAATATTAATTATACTTTATTATTAACAAGAATAATAATAAACAAGCTACTTAAAACTGCAGTAGTGACCTGCAGGCAATGAAGTTAACAGTTGGAAGGGTCTTTATCTGAACTGCTAATGGAGCGATAAATCACTCCTGAAGTTGCACTTAGAGTTTTAATAATTCTTAAAATAGAGACAAGTGAGTTAGATAGAGACTTAG